TTCTTCTCCATACACATCAGACCCAGATTTAGTATCCTCATCTCCCAGGACAACTGCCTTACATAAATTGCTTAAAACTCTTTCAGCTTTAGCCACTTAGGCTGGCATTTGCCTATCACATATGTGCTTGAGATTGTTGTATCTGGAACATTATAGACAAGTAATGATTCAAAGTTCAAAACAGGCTTAGGTAAAATCCACATTATTTTGGCCTCATTTCTGAGGAGATCTAGTATTCAGAAAGAGGGCTGTTCAGATTAATTTTTGCTATAGAAGTGTGTCTTTCAAAATCCATAGAATCTGATCAATAGCAAACATCTGAATATTCAGGTGCTGGAAACTGCTGCTATTTTCCCAACCATGACTGAGAAAAAGAATAGGAACTACTGTATTGGGTTAAATCAAAAGTCAATCAGGATCAATATTTTAGGTCAGAAGACCAGAGCTCAGGCTGATTGTCTCATTTATATACAGTCTGATAGGTGAGATCACAGCTCACATTTTCAGTTGTTCTTGTTGCTCTTTCTACTTTTATTATATCTTTATCAAACAGGCGCTGGTAGCTGCACGTGGTCCCTATGATGCAGACTCACTAGGGATTTTTGCAGTGAAATTGGGGTTTCTTTTGTCTTTTGTTCTGTCACTTTTCAACTTCTTATTAACTCAAGTCTCATTTGAAGGTCAGTGTGCATTGTTCTGCCTCTTTCCAGGAGTCTGTTTCCCAAGCAGTTTGTTTGAAGTTATTGCTACATGTGTATAGATAGAGATGTTTCTCTAGTGCTCTCAGAGCACAGAAGGATGGACCTGGTCAGTCCTCCCAAGCTGGAGATCAGCCAGTTCGTGACAAAAGGTGTATTTTACCATGTTTGTCCAGCAGATAAGGTGGCACAGCACCTATATGTCACCCACTTGCTCAAAGTCAAAAGTGTGATCATGTTTCTGTCAGGAAGAATGTACCTGAGAAGGTCCAACACCAAGCATCGAGACAACACCTAGGACAATGTCCAGGGGCTACTTGGATAACCCCAACAGGTATTACAAAAGGTGTGCAGGATCCTTCTTCCATCCTTTCAGGCTTACATGTTGCTTCCATTCATTCATATGTTTGTTCTTGAAATAATAATTTGGCTTTCCTTTTTTTGGGATCTCTTTTCTGGAAAGTCTCTCAATTTCTTTCATGAATGGGACTGGGACTGTTTTTACCCGAAAACCAGTAAGAAGAACAGTCAGTGGAAAAAGGAGGAGTGTTCCTTCATTATCTGCCCCTTCCTATGGGAGTGGAAACAGAAAACTGCAGACTGGTACTAAGGACCCTGTTCCCTCCTTTCCATCCCACCGGGAGAAGAAGAAAAACACCCAAATCACTGTCACTAGTACTGTAACGGACACAACTCCATCAGTGCCACTATCACCATCATTGTCATGTTAATCACTGATGTCAACACTGCTGCCACTACAGGCAATATTCTCCTGAGCCCTTGAACGAATGACTTTTACCATGTAGCACACACATGGAAGTAAGGATTTCACGGCTGCCCTCTAATGATTCAGGGCAGCTTGGGCCACCGAATGCCCAAAGAAATGCTTCTACCAACACAAGACTTTCCAAGCCATCAGTATCTGCGTACAGGAAGACATTGAGGAGGATGATCTATGTGGTGCATTTTTTCTAATGAATTTTATGCTCCATTTTTCTATCAAGACTTATTTTCTTCTTTCCTTTTCCCAGGTCTAAATTGCAACTGCACCACCTTGTTTGACAGTAATCTAAAAGTAAAGCAAGCCATACATGCAGGTTCCTCACACACCCCTCCCAGTTGTCTCCCTTGGTTTCTTTCTTCTTGTCCTGTTTCATATGTAATGTTGTCTCTCTTCTGATAACCTACATTTGCACCTCCTTTCCTGCTATATGAACCTTCATCTTCAGCCTCCCTTAGCTGCTCTCCCATTGACTGCATCTGATGGTAAGAGAGGAAGAATGCTAATGCTATTTGTCTTATACAAGAGGAAAGGGAACAGATACCAAAAAAAGGGGCATTATTGATTACAACTGACATTCTTTTCTAATTACCTCAGCACCCACCTGTGACCACCAAAACCATGAGAAGGGCGTGGGCAGGCAGAGGCACAGGCAAAGACTGCTGTTTTTTCATTGGGACTTAGAATCATCTCCTTAGTAGCAAAAAATCCCCAAAGAATTGGCCCCATGGCAGCTGCTTTTCTTCCCAGTCACCAAACCCAGTAGTGCAGTATTCCTGCAAGAACTACTGAGCCTCTGTCATGAATCTTCTACCTGCCACAGTTTCCCCTATGTCCATCCAGCTGTTTGGCCAGGGCTTTTCTTCCGTTTGGCCAAAGAAACATGAAGACCTTCCTTTTTCCTTTACTGTGCTGGAATTGCTAACAATGGATAGACTAACTCTGTGATATCCCTGAACTTCTCTTCAAAAATTCCTTCTGTATTCCTCTTTTCTTCAGCAGCTTTCCTGCAGGTTGAAAGACATTTCTGTTATTGGTGAATCTCTCATGCTCATTATGTTTCTCATATTGAGACATCCTCACACCAAAAGATGATATTTTCTCTCTAAAGAGCTGCCCTCTGTACTAAATTCCCGTAACTCACCTCATATGGAATGCTCCCTACAGGAAAATGGAAAATCCATAATCCAGTTGAGCTTCTATTGGCATGTCTCTTATGCAGATGAAGGACTGGTAGCTTTAGTTTTTTTCCTTATCCAGTCAACCTACTTGATTTCCCCTTGTCTCCTTTGTCTCTGGGCAGAACTGAAGTTGAATGCTCTCCTTACTGAAGCTGAATTTCCTCTGCAGCCAAACCGCCCTTTAGTCACTGGCTCCCTTGATAACAAGACTCACTTCCTCTCTAGTCAGATTGGGCACTCCCCATTATTTCCAAGTTGTTTATGGAAAAGCAAAATTTCTGGCAAAAACTTTGACAAATCACACCAGTATGCTTATGTTGTCAAAGGAAAACCATTTATTTCTGTCTTTTGTGGTTTTTTTTTCTCTTTTAACACAAGAGAATCCGTTCATAAGAGATTAATTTCTTTCAGTTTTTATAGAGGCTCTCTTGAAGTCAGTTTCTTACCCTTATGTCACCGAGTCCTTCAAAGAGATTCAATGGATGAATTAGGAAAAGCACCTTTTAAAAAAAATCTGTGCTTCATGATATCAGTTCTATCAATTTGTTTACTAATGTGACTGTGCTTCAGTTATTCAACCAAAAATGCCAACTACACGACTCAGAACTACTAAGCCCCCTTTATGTCATTCCAGAGCCTGAATCTTCAGTTCTTATCTACCATGATTGGCTGAACCCACAGGTTACACAGCACCATGGGTAGACCTGCTGTCCCATTCTTGCTTTGTTGGCATGGGGAGAAAATGTGATGATTTTTCCCCTATTCTTGCTCTCTCTTTGTTATAAGAGTTCTTACTCAGGGTGTACTTTGATGTTAGGAGCAAAGACTGCTTAAGCTGCTCCCCTTCTTGCTTCTGGGATCCTTCCACATCCCGTGCCATACTCCACTATCCTCAAATTCTGTCAACACATCTGATTTCTGATCACCCTAGAAATCAATCCTGGCCAAAAATACTGAGGAGGGAAATGGGGAAAAAAGCAGGTAGGGAGAAGGATTTATTTAAAAACAGAAATTAATTTGTTGAACCACATCAAGGATGGGGTAACAAACAGCTCTGAGGGAGAGATGAGATTGACTTCTCCACCAAAGCACATTTCATTTGAAAATTGTGACCTTGCCGTGTTAAAAAAGCCCATGATGAGCAAGTTCCTGCACTGTGAACTCCAATCCATGCCATTGTGAACATATTTTTACATGCTGCTTTTACACCTCCAGCATGCATTGCCCTCTTGGTAGCCTGGAATTTCACCTATTTTTGGCAAATTGTACCTCTTGGTAGCCTGGAATTTCACCTATTTTTGGCAAATTGTACCTCAATATCCTTTTTTTTAGTTCTGTCTTCTTAGGGTTTTACTTTTACCATTTCAGACTCGATGTCCTTTTTTCTCTATTAATCGTGACCTGTATTTTCCCAGGAATGCATTTCAGTGCTCTGAATCTGTTTTAGTCAACTGTTTAACTGTGCTTTCTCTGTTCTTTTAAACACTTTTGGATAATTCACACACATTTTTCTCAGTGTCCCCTGTGAGATTAGTTCTCTGAGTAATCACATCTTTTATTTTTTTAATGAATACGCATTTTTCGCAATTCCTTTTTCTGACATTAAGCTCTAAGCAGAGTAAACAGTGAAACTGGAGGAAAGGTTTCATTAAACAGGAATGTCAAATGTGAATATTGTAACAAATATGTAGAGGTCAACTATGTAAATCAGATCTGTAGATGGCCATTAACCAAGAATCTTTCTTCCTCACCAAATGTGCTCATCTTTCCCTAATACACACCAATACAAGTACGTGTGCAGTGTTTTCAAAAATAAAATTGAAGGACTTGGATATGAAAATGTCCTGCTAATTTCTGATAAACCTTTTTGTTTATAGCCTCGCATGGGCTTCCTTCGCTTGCTGTATGGCTGCAGCTGTCACCACTATTAACAAATACACAAAAACTATTTTGGAATTCAAGCACAAAAGAAAAAAGCTGGAAAGGAGTTTAAAGATTAAATACAAGTTTCCTGACCACACAGCTCCAGAGAAAGCTTGCAATGTGTATGTGAACTCTTTTCAAAACACCACGGAGGACCCCACGCACGCAATAAGAGGCTTGCGTCCCCTGGCCACTATTTCAGTTCTGTAAAGCTGAATCGAATCTATAGGCATTCTGTAAATTATAATGCTAGATCCAAATGAAACAGTATTAATGAATAAAACGTATCAATGTGTAGTATTATTTATTTTTCTTAATGAATGTTACGACCTGCCCCAGGAAAAGGGGGGGGGGGGGTAACCCAGGTTTTATCAATAATTCCTTTGGGGTGGATTAAAGCGAAACGACACTAAATAATCTGTGTCTGAAAACATATATTGACAAGCTTTATTTTAACAATTTTGTATCAATAGGTATGTTAACATTTTGGGTACTGTCATAACCTTTCTGGGGAGGAGAAAAAATGCATAGGGCAGAGAAAGACAGGGTAAGAGTAAGGGAGAGCAAGAAAAAAAAGAAGATGAGATAATCACTGCCCACTGGATCCAGCGATGTCTTGATCCGCAGGTGGTGGGGGGAGAAGGAAAAACAAAAACCCCGCCAAACCCCCAAAGTCACCAGTCAAAATCCATATCCTTTGCACCTCCCCCAAGGCGGGGAGTTGTTTTCATAGGTTGGTGTCCCCCTTTTTGGTGTGGAGTTCATGTGGAGGGCGTGGTAAACTCGGCTCTTCCCGCCTTTTCGGGGCTTGACATCTTCTGCACTGGAGGAGGGGGGGGGATGGGCCCAGTTGCCCATCAGAAAGTCAAAAGCCTGCAGAAGTCTCTTAGAATGCATAAATCATTAACCGTTTCAGTCTCTGACAATGAATAAATGATATTTCCATGGATGTTTCAAGGAAATCTTTATATTGGAAAAGTAGATTCAGGTTTCTCTTTTCAGAAAACAGTAGTGATGCAGGTCCCCTACTGCTCTGGTTTTTAAGCAGTGTCTAATGCTAACACAGAGCGTGTGAGTTTGTTAGAATTTCAGAGCACTATGGATTCCACTCTATTCTTTATTGAAAAGACTGTAAAAAATCCCATCCCCAAACCAAAACCAATACTCACAAAGAACAGGGCAGCAAATAAGACACATGGTGCATGGCTTGATTAATTTTTTTGTAATTAAAGGTACAATCTCTTTGGAGGAAGGAAAAGGAAAATCTGTGAATTGCAGGTTATGATTCAAGTGTTTCAGTATATGCATAGTAGATTTGCTGTGAAAGGAAGGCTAATAGAGGGAAGAGGCTTTCAAAGTAAACACTGCTTATTCAAAACAATCAGGAAGGCAAACTGAAATCTGAAAGATACATTGTTGTGGACAGCACACAACTCACCTATAGAATTCTCTAGGAATCATTCTGGCAACAGTGACAAAAAGAACCAAAATTTGATTTGTGATTATTACACATGAAGCATCCATAATCACATTAAAAATGATAAAGTAGAAATTATTACAACCCTCAGAGATCAGGAACACACAGCTGTTCCACTGTGAGGATCAGTGTGGAACTTCCCCACGGAACTGAGCCATGTGTGCCTACTTTGCTGGACAGCAGTTTGTCTTCATTTTTGGGTAAATGCTCCTGTTAATGAGCCCATTAAGAAAACACAATTGTGAACTCTGGTTGGCAGAGGTCTTAGTATACTGAGCAGCTCTGGGCTTTGGAAAAATCACTTTACATTTTTATTCAGGCAATAAATATAGTTTGAGCTTGCTATGCCAGCAGGATCCATAGCAGGTCAGTTTATGGCCAGTGATAAGGTGGAGCTGATAACAGAGAAGCACAATTAGCTCAAAAGTAAACCATTAGAGGTAAGAGAAGAAAATTGTTAGATAATAGCAGTCTCTCAAGGTGAGATCACAGAGCAACACATGAGCCCATCTCTTCAGAAGGAACGTGGTGGAAAGCCCATAAAGGGGTGGTGGCACTTTGTGCCCAACCTCCATCCGCTGTGTACTTCACCCTGACTGTCCTTTGGGAGTGCAGTGACCTCAGGACTGGAAGTATGTGGGCAGGATGCCGGTAGGGGCCTCAGACGCTGCTTGGATTGTTGCTTGCTGCTGGTGCTTGCAATTTGTGCAACAGTCCTGGCCTCTGCTTCAGTTCTTCTGGGAGCGAGTTCAAGGTTCCTCAGATCCAGGTTGCAGGTGGGAAAAACTGGCTCCCCATCAGGGAGTTTCATACATTCATGCCACTAGTACTAGGGAGAGAGCTATATGGGTGCTGAATTGCAAAGTTAGGGCCCAGAATATTGCTTTGCCAAGGACAGGAACTTTGCTGAAGGCAGTGTGTGAATGCTCAGCATTGGAGGTGACACCTCAGTGGACATTGTCCCTGCCCCAGGAGCAACAGGCACTGCAGAGATCCTAGCACAGACTCATCTCCTGAGAAAGAATGCAAACCTCTGGGTCTAGGGAGTGCCTGGGACCACTTGTTGATTCCTGGGGACAGGAATGCTGGATGTTGTGGCTTCTGGCAAGAGGGGCATGACTGTTTCTCTAATGGCAAATCTGCAACTGCATAATACTTTCCATCTCCAGCAGCAAGCAAGAGGCTGTGAGCTCTGCCTGGGGAGCACTTGGAGCCAGCTGAGCCTGACACATGCAGCAGAACCAGGAAGCATGGCAAGTGCCAGCAGTGGGAAACTGTGTCTTTCAGGGCTTGGTACCTTGACTTGATATACAGGCATGTTTGCTGTTTGTTCAGGGCTTAGATCTGAGGTATTTCAGGTGGACTGCTGAAGCCAGTCCAGCCCTTAGACTGCAATTCCATGCTGATTATCCATGTGAACACCAGTAGTAATGTCCAGGAGACACCGACCAAGGGAAGAGTACCTATATGATTCTGAGGGTGAAGGTGTAGGACATTAGGGCCAAGGTGGTGTTCTCATTGGTCTTGAGAGGACAAGGCTTGGAAGTAGGGCATGGATCATGTGGGTCAACACTTGATTTTGCACAGCAGTCTTTGTGACAGGGCTTTGACTTTGACAACTGTAGGTCTCTCTCAGAGGATGAGGAACAGCTGGGGAGAAAGAGGGTCCACTGGGCAAAACTGGCCAACATGTTGAGAAATACTTTAAGAATGCTTTAGGAATAATAGAGAAGTGAGATTTTGTCATGAAATAGAAGTCTACAGTGGTGGAAAGAAAAAGGTGCAAGGTGACATGAAAAAATGAGATCTCAGGTGTGATAAAGCAGGGCAAAGAAAGCCCCACCCCCTAAGCATATGTATACAAATGCAAACAGTCTGGGAAACAAGTGAGAAGAACTAAATCTCCACATGCAGCCAATGAGCTGCAGTACCTTTAGAACAAGAGATGTGGTTGCACAGTTGGGCTGCTGCAGATCAACTCAGTGGAGATGGACTTGGGGATTTTATTGAACTGAGATCACAGCAAGCTGAAAATACAACTGGTAGAAAGAACGCCAACAGCATCTTCGGCTGTATTAACAGGAACACACCCAGTAGATCCAGAGAAGTGATTTGTTAAATGACATACAGAATCCAGTTTTGGGCTCCACAAAATGGGAATAACAGGAACAAAGTGCATCAAGTTCAGCAGATGGTCACAAAGATGGGGGAGAGAACTGGAGCATATGTGGTATGAGAAGAGGCTAAGGCTTTTTTTTTGCCTGCAGAGGAGACTTCAGAGGGACCTGAAGCTCTACAATGTCAGGCAGGCTTCCAGTTTCCACAAGAAAGTTGTTTATTACACGGAGCCAGGCTTTTCACACTGGTGCACTGTAGGAGAATGAGAGACACTGGGCATAGATTCAGCTGAGAGAAACTTGAACTGAATACAAGGACAAGCTTTCTCATTGTGGGGACTTGTCAGGCAGTGAACCAGGCTGCCAAGAAGAGGCTGTGCAGCCTTCCTGCTCGGAGGTTTTCAAGACCAGACTAAGCAAAGCTCTGAGCAACTTGGTCTGACCTCACAGATGACAGGAGGGTGAACCAAAAACTTCCTGAAGTACTATCCTACTTGAGTTATCCCACAGTCCTGCCCCTGCTGCCTCCCAAAACTCAAATCCAATATTTGGAAATGTTTGGAGCCTTTTTTTGTTTGTTTGTTTGTTTGCGTGTTTGTTTGTTCTCTTTAGTACTGGTTGCTTCTTTCAGTATATTTCATATACAAATGAACCTTTATTTTTAAGATTCAAGTTTTGGCCCGGTACCCAGTAGCAGAAATTCCTTTTCATTAGCCTATATTGTCCTACAATCAACAGTTGTAGGTTACTGTCCTATAACAGCATCTCAATGTGTACAATTTAAAATCAACATCATAATTTCTTCATGCTTTTCATGTCCTGTGAAAATAAGAAAAGTTATATGGAAGCTGCTGGCTTTATTATTAATTTACGGTCACTGTACACCATCGTTTTCAATTTTAGAAAGAACATTTGCTACAGTATTCTTATTAGTTTAGCATTTAACGTATTCCCAGCTTTTAAACACTCATGAACGCCCTTCTGAGAGACTGAAAAATTCAAGGTTAATGACTCAAACAATCGGCCTTTTGCAAAAGCAGTAGATGCTTTGCTGAGACCAGGTTTATGCTACCCCAGCAAAGGGGAGGAGGAGACTTTTTGGGGTATGTGGTGGTGAAACCTCCAATCTGCGTAAGAACAGCCCGGGTGCAGAGGGGATGTGCACCCACAGCCAGAGGATGACCATGGCACACCAACCTTGGTTTAGCAACAAGATGAGTTTTGAGCCAGATAAGGGAAAAGGCCAGTAAGAAGGCAGATTCCGTGAGGTGGGATAATGCTTTTTATCATGCCTTCCAATAAAGCTCAGGTATAAAACTCTCCCCAGAGGGATGTATCGGGACATTCACATGTAGGCCTGAGGGTTTTCATCCTTTCTGATGGGGAATAACTGCCTCAACTACAGTGGTGTGAGAGGCAGCTGTCATGTCTTAGAAGGGGCCATAAACCATCAAGGACCCCCAAGGCACCCCCAGACTCATTTCTGAGGCCTTCCACCAGAGGACTGCATGCACGCACAGTGTTATATCAGACAGTGTAAAACTCCCGCCAGGGGAGGTACCTGGTCATTCTCACCTGAACCTAAACATGTATTAACCCATTGAAATTTTGGGTTCATGGGCCCCCAGCCGCAATGGATCAAGACTGTGACCATCACCTTTACCAACAGGCATCGAAATTTGTCCACAGGTGGTGATATCTTCCCTCTCTACTATCTAATCTTATCCTTTCTTTCTTTTATGTTTTCTTAAGTGATATTTTTATACTTTTATATTGCTGTATTTCTATAGATAATAACCAAAATGGCTACATAACTCCTTTCCATGGCAACTAAATTGTTTCAAAATAGACCTGGCATCTATTAGCAAGAACCTCAGTTACCCCACCTCATGGGGTGGGCCATAACAACTGTAAGAACAACCAACCAACCAACCAACCAAATGCGAATAGGAGCTGGGGTAGACTGTATCCTGCAGTTGACTCCTGATCACATACAGCTTTGTGACACTCATGAAAGGATGTCAGTCAAGTATTTATACCCAAAGTCATCTCCTCATAACTTTCATGAGTGTTGATTTTATGATTTCTGCCTAACTTGACTGCAGTTTCATTATTTGCAGTGGTTTCAGCATTTGGTGTTCATTCAAGTTTTCCCATCCAGTGGGAAAACTGACAGAATTACACTCTCTGTCTGAGAGAATATCAAAACTATTTTGGTTGGAGACCACCTACAAGACTCACCGATATCTATAGACTCACAAATAGTTAAAGAATAATTTAAATTGTAAATTCGTTGTGAGAAGTCTGTCATGAGGTCATGAGGTTTGTGTCTGGTCCAACCTTCCCCCTGAAAGCCAGGCCAATAGTGTTGTTCAGAGACTCAAGCAGTTGAATTTTGAATATATTGAGGAAATGAGATCTCCTGACCTTGTTGGCAACCTGTTGCAGTGCTTCGCTGCTGCAACTGTAGAAAAAGCATACCTAACATCAAATCAGAATGCCATGTCCTCCAATTTGTGTCCATTACCTTTTTTATTTCTACTGTGCACATTTGAGAAGTATCTGGCTCCTTCTTCTCTATACCAACCCACTAGGTAGCTGCAGACAGCAATAATATTTCCCTTTTCATCTTTAGAAAAGTCTGTCTTTACTCATTACAGTGTTCTGAAACTGCCACCTTCCGTTCCTCTCTATCAGTTGTCAGAGCGGTTGCTATTCACTCTGGTAGAAGCAGTCTCAATCCCTTGACCAGAACACAAGACCTTAATTCCTTCCCCTAGTTTCACATATTTTTTTGTGGTGGTGATGTTTCTAACATCTTCACTGATATAGGAATTCCTGATTCCGTCTGACTTTATGCTTTTTGCACTTGTAATATCTCTTTTTACAACAGATCTTTACCCATCTCATGTTGTTTCTGGGTGTCACTGAGGAATTTCCACCTCATCCAGGAACATGCTCGTTTAGTGCCCACAAGTCCTTTAGAAGACCTAAGTAAGTTCCTCATTTTTTTCTTAGCCTGCAGTTTACTAACACAGATGGCCAGTCTCTGCCATATGCTGTTTCCTCAGGATTTTTCTTACAGTGGGTTGCAGTCGTAAAGTGCTCTGTGTGAACAAGGGCTTTTAAATAATTGTCCAATAGGACCCCATCAAGATCAATTCCTAAATCTCAAACTTTGTTCTTCTCACATAGTAACCATTCAAGAAGATATATGTCTTCTGCTGGATGTCTGGTAAACAAATTCACCTGATGAAATGCAAGATTTCTTATCCCTATTTGTAACCCAGGGTTTTGTATTCTGGCCTTTATGTAAACTTCTGACTCCCAGTAAGTCCTGGAACCACATTATTTGAAGGCAGGTTAAAAACTGAGGCACTTTCATTCCAATTCTTTAGACCCAATCAATCTTGATGAATGTGGCATCTCAGTAAACTTCAGATACCTGTGGCAGAGATACATAGATCTACACTTGTACTGGCACTTCAGGGATGCAATTCTTATTATCCTGAGCTGCAAGTCAGATAAGTCAGACAAGTCAGACTATAGACACCTGTTTCTTTCCACCACTTAAGAAGGGGGTCTGGGAGGTCAGCCTTGAGTGGGCTGTATCTAGGACAGATGTCTAAAATTAAACAAGAATCTCCTCACTTTTAAATTCTTCCTTACCTCAAGGGTCCTTGTGTCTAGAAATGCCTAACAATGTCGATTTTTTTGAACAACAAAAGTAACAGTTGATTTCAGCACAAAACCCCATAAACTTAAAATAGTGCAACTGCAGGTCACATTGAAAGAACATTATGTGCCCTTTGGGCATATGAGCTTAAAAAATTAATTAAAGGAGTTGTAGCTGATTATCTTTCTCCTATGACCTACAACTAAATCTGCGGGCCTAGTGCTGTCCTCATTTATAAAAGTTAGTATTATTACAGAATCTACATAGATTAAATACAGTTGAGTGAGGCTCACAGAAAACACCTCTTACTGAACTTATAATATTTCTATTTGTTATCATAATATTTTTATATACAACAGATATCCACAGATGTGACAGCGAAACAGAGACAGACAAATGAAACAGAAAACTTCAAATTAAATAATTTATTTCCCCAGAGGAAAAAAAAATACTGCTTCTGAAATACCAGTGGAGAAACATTGTTCTCAAGATGAGAAAAAAACATCAAATAAGAGAAAAGTGTGACCTCTTTAAAAGGTCATCTAATCCTTCTTTTCCTCTAGGCAGGATAAACTAAAGCTACATTGGTTTTTTACAGATGTTTCATTAATCCCTTCTTTAAAGCTTGCAAAGACAGGCATTTGAAAATTTCTTTGGCAATTTATCCTTTGTGCTTAACTATTCTTAGCAGAAAATTCTGTCCCTGTAAATCTCCTTTGCAGCAATTTTAGCACATTGTCCTACTCGAGCAAAATGTTTAATTCTATCTTCTTGGCAGTACGTTTTAGGAATTTGAAAACCATTAAGATATATCTTTCTTCTACTTTCTAGATTAAAACACATCTGTTCTTCAAAAATTTCTTGATGGGTCACAGGTGTTATTTTACCTTTGTCACTCTCATTGCTATTTACTGTGGCTCCTTGAACTGTTCACATTTTTGAAATGAAGTTGCATGAAAAATTTCTGCTGATATCTAGAACATGCAAAATGGAGCAGAAGAATTATTCAGCTTATTTTAACATGTAATCCACTTGTTTTTACAACAAAGCAATAAAATAATAGAAATCAAGGAAATCAGAGAATTGTTAGGGTTGGAAGGGACCATCTTGTTCCAATCCCTGACATGGCCAGGGACACCCCAACCTGGCCTTCCAGGGATGGGGCAGCTACAAAAAATGTTGATTCATGTTTAGCAGTGATGTCCTACGATTCCTGATCCTTTTCTGATTAAATTACCCAGTTATTCTACATTTGGGTTTTGTGGAATTATGAAGGGCTTGGCTTTTGCTGAGGTACAGACACAGGTAAAACTGAAATCACAGCAAATGCCCATTTGTTTGAAGGAGTAGAGTTCTGGTGAGGAGCTAGAAAATTTTGAACAAAGTCATTGTTTGACTTCCCAGTTAAGGTATAGTCACTCACGCAACAATAAAACCCCAGTGCTACAACAGAAAATAGATGGAGCTCCAACAGGTACTGCAGGAACTGTCGTCTTCTCCCCTGTGGTCAACTACCTCCCTGAGTCAGGTTTCTTGAAGTCCAAGTAATTGAATTACAGATACAGCAAAAAAGTTAATGTCCCTGCAAGATGATAGTCATATATTTCCTTGCCCTCAGAATTCCGTTCATGTTTGGAGACTCTGCTGATGAATGAAGTATATAAGTGATCTGCTGTCGAAAGTTACATGAGCAATGGGACTTGTAGCAGCAAGAGTAGTTTGGTTCCATGCCTCCAGAGCAGGTATTTCCTTTGTAGGTATTCTGCAAACAAGGCATTTTGACAGGACAAAATGCAAGTGGTCATGACCTCTTTGAGTACTGATGGCACAAGAAAGGGTGGGGGAGGGTTTGGGAAACAGAATTTAAGCCCTTAGATGTAAAACTGAAGATCAGGACACCCTTTCATTAGCTTTATTTATTTTCTGGTTCAGCCCCCAGGATGAGATAAAAAGGCAGAGCAAGGCCTCAGCGTGAACTGGGAAGATGTGATGGGGAGAGGAGCATAAAATGACTAGGAGTGAGAGAATTTTTGGAATATATGGAATTTAGACAATTGACGTAAACAATGACCGTGTTTATGTTGGACATGATGATTAATTACGATATATGGCAGAGTGGACAAGGAAACTCAATGATCAGGAGCAGTCAAAAAAGTCAGAAAAATGTCTCAAAAGAGGGAATTTGCATAAGACATGCAAAAGAAGAAAAGAAGTGAAAAACCCAGGAAGCATCTGTATGCTTGTCTGTGAATCCAGATTGTTTATCTATTTTGAATGCTGCATGCAGCTGTGGGCTGCCCATCTTAAAAAAAACAAAAACAAAACCAAAAAACAAGCAGTAAGCCAAAAATTATAAACAAGGATAATCTGGACTTCTCGCAAAGAGAGAGTAAATAGTTTACAGGGCTCTCCAATTTGGAAAACAGGCAACTGCATGGAATGTATGATGGGCATGAATGATTGGGCTTGAATGATTTGAGTACCATTATTTTGTGTCTCTCACACTAAAAGAAGTAGGAGAATATTACCTGACATCAGCTTTAAAGTAAACGTAAGGCAGTCTTTTTTTATATATGACTAGTTCATTTCCTCAGGGAAATAAGGATTTGAAAGGTTTGTGTGAAAAAATGATAGTTTTTAAAAAAATGCAGAGACAGAGTCTGTTTCAAACTGTGAAGTAGAACGCCAGGACCTGGAAGACTGCTCTATTTTTTAAGCATGTACTCCAGGACCCTGTCGTGGATGAGATATTGAACTAGATAAGCCCCTATTGGGTTTGCCATTTGCATATCCTGTTAGAACTTCCAAAAAGTATGTCTGAGGAACACTCTGAGCCAGGCTCTAACTCTGTTCTCCATCGGTTTTTACTCCTCTCTCTCCCACATATCCCTACTTCCCCATCTCTTTTTTCCTGTAAGTTCCATCAGTTCTAGCACTAGCAGACTATTCTGGTGAGTTACTGCAGGTCCCCAAATTTTGATTTATATTGGGAATCACTGTATTATACAGTGACAGAGTCCCTAGTAGGGCTTTCCCCATACTGTTCTAATGTAAAAAATGACATCTCATATTCCCTAAATCCAGAAGAGTAGAAGTTCCATGGATGAATGTGTGTCAGTGGTAGTAGCTTTATTCTATCCACGGCAAGCAGCAGAGATCATTGACATTGGAAACAAAAACTTTTTTTTTCAAGTCAAAACCAGAGAAAATAACTGAACAAAATCAATTTTCCTCCTCCGTCTTTAGCTTTTCCCTAATACCTGAGGCAACAATGGCAAAAAACAGCTCAGGGAAGAAGGTTCGAATGTAAACTGCTGCCCTGGGGATAGGGTTGGCCATAAGCACCTCCCGCTTCTTCCTGCTCACTGTGCGCAAGACTTCCTCTGCTACGTCCACTGGGTGTACACCATATGCCACCTTCCTGAAAAAGACTGTAAATCAGAGAGGAGTGAGAGCTACAGACAGGCAGACAAACAGACAGACACTCCGAGGGAATGGTGGTGAAGACACACAACTAGTGCATCAGTCAAATCAGTTAAATTCCTACATACTTTTAAGCCCTTATCCACTCTATTCTCTTTCTCAGTATGTCCCTAAGATTTTTTTACAACTTTGAGGTAAAATCTTTACCGTCCCTAAGAGAAGGAACAACCTGAGTGTACTGGAACCTTTGGACCTTCCATGCTTTCCTCCCTCTCTATTCTTGATGCCCTGGTGTATTTATTTTCTCACATAATGTTGTCTCTTTCCATGTTCCTTCTCTTTTCACCAGGCTCATCTTACCTCTCCAATATCTCTTTTCTTTTGCTATCCATACCACTCATTCTTTCTGTCATTTCCATTATTTTTCCTATGCTCCTATCTTCACCCTGAAAAAGCTTCCATCCTGCTACATAGGCCCCATCTTCATCCATCAAAACTTACATTTCCAAATAGATGCCTCCCAGTTGCCAGGTGCTGGTTGGCGATGGTACGAACAGATGAAAGTTGGATTCACAGTGCTGACAGAAATATCAAATTCTTCCATTTCAGCTCTAAGACAATCAAAAAAACCTACAGCAGCATGCTTGGAGGCAGCATCTAAAAGAAAAAAGCCCACATATGCATGTTTAGAGATATGATTGCATGGATGTAGATGTATGATAGTGCTCCATAAGGCACCAATGTTTGGGAAAATGAACATGGAATAATTAGCCAAAAGGCAAAAGAACAGTGAATTATTTCACCCAGTAAAATTATCATATAACATATTCGAAACAAGCAATAAGAAATTATTTTTATAGGACAACTGTGTATGAGGTATGGAGGCAGTCTCCTGGACATGTCAAAAAGCATTTCCCAGTTGGAAATAGTCTTGGGTTTGGGAATGACCTAGGTTAGAGAATAACACTTCTATTATCTCTACAGTTCAAAAATGTCTTTGGTGGATGGAGCTGTCCCTGAGATGAGTCCCCACACCCTCTGTTTCTGCAGTTTGCAACACACCCCTAAAATGCAGTGAAATACATGTGCATTGCTGGAATGCAGGAGTACTAATGTTTTGTACACTAATTGGGACTTTGCCCTGCAGCAGCAATCCGAGCTACTTTTAACATTAATGTGAAAGTAACTGAATGTCAAGACTTTTTTAATCTGCCTTTCGCTATGTATAACTTACAGGCTGCACGAAATGGGATTCCTATTTTCCCTTGAATGCTATTAATTAGAACAATTTGGCCAGTTCTTCTTGAGATCATGTTGGGAAGAATGGCTGCAAAAACAGAAATGCGAGAAAGAACCACATAAGTAAAAGAGTTTCATGTATTTAGTGAAAAGGAATGATGGCTGAATTGTAGATCTCACAACTACCTTTGGTTAATGTTATAGGTCCAAAATAGTTGGCATCCATTATCTTTTTATCAAGTTCCAATGAAATGCTCTGCACTGCTCCTTTCACCTTCATACTTGCATTGTTGATTAGTATATCCACACAGCCATAGCAATTCAGGATTTCCTTAGCTACATCTCGAATGCAGTTTATGTCTGAGATATCCAGAAGTATGAGCTTTGGCGCATACGTCTAATAAAGAAAAGACTCATAGCAATGATAATTGTTATCTAAAAAAACTATTTCTGTTTACTTGTCTTGTAAATTAATTTATCTTGACATTTGAATAAAGTGTTTTTATTATTCTCACATAAACTTCCAGGGGTTTTTTTTAGCCTTCTCTAGGAAGAAGGTAGTTCAGCAATGACAGCTGGCATTGCTCAGCCTGGAGAAAGCTCTGGGTAGCCCTTCAAGCCGCTTTCAGTGCCTAATGGAGCTCCAAGAGAGATCTGGAGCGGGACATTGAACAAGGGCCTGGAGTGACAGGACAAGGGGAGATGGCTTCCCACTGACAGAGGGCAGGATTAGGTGGGATACTAGGAAGAAATTCCTCCCTGTGAGGGTGGCGAGGCCCTGGCACAGGTTGCCCAGAGAAGCTGTGGCTGTGCCATCCCTGGAAGTGTTCTAGCTGGGATTTGTTCCAAAGAGGTGGAGAAACTAAAAATTATTTTGATCTTTAGACCCATCTCCCAGTCCTTGAGCACACTAATTACAGGAAAAATGCATGACACTTCCTGTACAAATGAAGCATTTGGATCCCTTTCACTCAAATTATCAGGCTAATTTCTCTGCTGAAGATTTCTAGCTGGGTATCTTATTCAGAATGCAGGTACACTCAGATGATTTACAGGAACTGCCCTGGATTAGCTCAAGAGAGTAGGATTTTGACATTGTGCTCTGAACACCTTCAGAGGCATTTCTTTCTCTCTCTCTCTGACAGAGAGTTATTTCTCCTGGACTCTATTTGGTGTATTACTTGGGAAACCAAAGTCACCATTAACAGTGAATCATGTTTCTTGTACCTTGTTTTACTGGGTCTAAAAGCACATTGTATACCTGAACAAGGTGTTTACCTCAGGCTATGAATACATACCATACTGGGGTCTGTCACGCTAATTAAGGCATCATACAAGGCTTCTAACTTTTCCCATGTCCTGCCACACAACACAAGCCTTGCTCCTCCTGTGTGAAACACACGAGAACATTCTAGGAGAGAAATACATTCAAAAGAAATAATTACAATAATGACAATTTGATTTTGCTTATTTTGCTTGAAACGGGATGCTGGTTTTGCTAATGACATTGAATCCATGCTTTAAAATTAATTAATTTTGAGAGAATATATATGTATAAAAAAAAAAGCATTGAAATTTAATAGTATGTGAGTAATAAATTCTAACTTAATGTAATGTTATTATGCACAATTAATGGTACAGCACAATGGCACTGTTTAGTAATGGGATTTAATAACAAAGTAATTGAGAAAAGAACAATATATCTGTTAATGAATAATGGGTTTGAGTTAGAAAAATTTTTCTGAATATATTTCACAGACACTTTTCCTATAAATAAAACTGCATACAAAAATAAACACCCAAGGTCGTTACAATACAAACTGCATCTTTTGCAAACCTTCATGTCTGATGCACTATAAAGAAACCAACAAACCTCAGTAAACAGTAACGCTAGTTCTGTGTTACCCTCATGAAACTCTTGGCAACACAGAACTCATCTACAACTTTGATAAAGAGTAATATAGATAAACTCACCGCCCACTGGTGCACAGGTGGAGCACCCATGAGAGAGCCCTTTCTCCTACAGACCCTTCCCTCCAGATGTAACCTACCCCAACAGCTTTATCTCCTGAGTACTAAACCTTCCCAATAATCAGCAGAGCCATCAGGGATCAGCTTGTTCAGTTACATTCCCCACAGCCTTCCTGAGAAGAGAACTGGAAAGTTTTCTGGGAATGCTGGGCTGGCACGGCATTTTCTTCATTCAGACACGTTCTGAGCTGGGGATTTACCCCAATTTAAGCTAGGTATCTGGGGAAGATTCTTCTCCCTTTTTCATACAAGTGAACTATGACTGTGCTCTTCTGAAACTGGGGACTCACATAGCAAAAGGAACTGGCAGTCAGTGTTACCCATCATCCCCTCTCAGCACAAGACTGCAGCCAACTGATTAGTGCAGGTCTTCGTGGGTGTGTGTGACCAATTCAAGCCAAATTATAAAATACAAGGCTGGACCACCTTGACAACTTCTGTCTGGTCTATTTTCTTCTCTAGGTCGTGTTGAGGGAGAATATATTCCTCATCATCCTCTCAGTTTGACCAAAGACAGGCATTTAAGAATATGGAGCACAGATACCTCATGGGAATCTTTATGGAATTCACTGTTAGTTGTATCCCTCTGGCAGTTGTAGGCTGCTACAGTGATACAGCTGCACTGAAACAGTCCAGGAACCCGTCAAGGCTGTCCTCCTCACCAGGAAAAGCACACATTTGCCTGCCTTTTATTTCTTAGAATAGATAATGTCCTGCAGATAGGCCTGAGGATACAACTGATGATGTGTCCAAGGTGCCCCAAACCAGAGGTCTGCTTTGCATGCAGCCAGAGAGTTAGCTGACAATGGATTATATGTACTTTTATGACTGAAAATCAAGAGTTATTTTTCCTGATTAAGTCTTCCAAAAAGCTCTCAGCCTTGGAGCTCTCATGTTTGGTTTCTCCATCAAATCTATATGAAAGCTACGTAGTCAGCATTGGAAGAAAATGAATATGGTCTTACAATGCCTTTCAGCCTATTTGTTTTGTCTCAGCTCTTATGGCTTTTGTTGACAATAGAAGAACCCCAGTGCTATGGTTTGCTGTCCTCCAAGAAGCATTTTCTTCATATTTCAATATCCACAGGAAATCCAGTTATGCTCATCTACCAATTTAAGATTTCTTAAATGCTCATGTTACACTAAATATGGATCAATCTTGTATTTTTGCAAACCTGTGCAGCTGGAGGCTTTTATTTAAGCAATCTTTTTCATTATTTACAACAGTAATTTTACGAATGTCTTTCATTTTTTTCTTTTCTAGTGTAGAAAAAATTTTTATTTAAAGCCCAAAAGATTATTTGCCAGTACAACTATACCATTATTTTCCCTATAAACAGCAGTTGGGTCAATCTTATGGAAGAAAATGCAAAAAAGAGTACTGGGTCAACAGCAATAAAGGTGAAAAAGGGAAACCAATTATGTCCTCTAGAAGCTTCCTGGACTTTTCTGAGTTATAGCACTCAGAAGAAACAGGAACTAAGTTTCAATAATAACCATAAACCATTGAAAACATCTTCAATCATCATAGTTTTCTTTTTTAACTTTGCTGAATGTTGTCTTTAGTCCAGAAATTCTGGCATGTAGGAAAAAGAATTTGGCTGTTTCTTAAGAGCTCACATACTGGCCACACAGCCAGTATTTGAAAGCCCTGGACAAATGGCCATCACATATGCCTAAGTGGAGTGCACAGTAAATTTTGCATTATTCATTCAAGCCTGCAAATAACTTCTTGATGTCACCCTATGGGACACTGGTTGTAGATATATTTGGGATAATAAAATAAAAGTGCTGTGAGTTACCTCCTTTTTCATCTCTATGAAAAGGAGGGTGGGGGCACCACACACACAAACAGTTGCTTTTCTAGCCTCAAGAGACAGGCAACAGCTAGTCATGGGGGGTGGGGGGGGGAAGGAAAAAAAAAGAAGAAAAAAGGGAAAAATTTAAAAAAAAGAAAAAAGAAAAAAGGAAAAGAGAAAAAGAAAAAAGGAAAAAGGAAAAAAGGAAAAAGAAAAAAAAAGAAAAAGAAAAAAGAAAAAAGAAATAAAAAGAAAAAAGGAAAAAAGAAAAGAAAAAGAAAAAAGAAAAAAAAAAAGAAAAAAGATAAAAAAGAAAAAGAAAAAAGAAAAAAAGAAAAAAGAAAAAAGAAAAAAAAAAAAAAAGAAAAAAGAAAAAAGAAAAAAAGAAAAAAAAGGAAGGAAGGTTAATATGGAAACTGAAGTTAGGAAAATTGTCACCAAGGATTATGCAATGCTGGAGCAAGACAGCTGGAGAAATGTTCAATAAATGTTCTTTATTCTTGGAGGGTTCCAAGATTTGGCTTGAAGCTATACCCAAACAGATCCAGCACTGGTGATATTTCTGCTCCAAGGGAGATTTTTATCTAGAAACCCAGACATCCTATAATTCTACAGCACACCCAATCTCAGCAGGAGTTCTCTGAATCATGCCTCTCCAACAAAAATATTGAAATATAAATGTCCTGGTTCTAGCCAGGGTGGGGGTAACTTTCGCAGCAGCCAGGAGATGTACAGCAGGACCCCAGGGTTGTTCAATCCCACTCCAGCCCTGCACAGGGCAGTTGCATTTTTCCGGTTTGCTGGGTGAGCAGTCGGGTGGCGTCAGTCCCACATGGTGAGTGATTGGTGTGAATCATTTGCTTACCTTGTACCCTCTGTCACTGGTATTGTTGATGTTCATTTTCTTATCTCATTGCTGTTTCCAGTAAATTGTTCTTATTTCAACCCACGATCTCTGCCTTTTGTGTCTCTAATTCTCCTCTCCATCCCACCACGGGAGGATGGGGGGAGTCAGCGAACAGTGCGTGGTGTTTCAGTGAACACCAAGTTGGGGAATACCATTCCTAAACCACGACAATAACCAACTTGAGAAAATGCACAGTAATATTATCTTCAACTGAACCTGAAATGTATCAGGTAAAGGGAATGACTGAGTGGAATGAGGAGGCCAGAATTATTTCATACCTTGTCCTAAAAGCCTCTGTTGCAGATCTCTGCTCTGTTCTGCTAAGGATTAATTCTGCAGGAGCATTCCCTTTCCCCATCTGCTCTCTCCTTGGGAGTGCAGAGGTTTTAACAGACAGCAAGTCTTCATTAAAAACACCAAAATATAGCCTTGAGCTATGTTTGCCTTATCAGGTACTTGAATCTACTGCCCCTCTAGTGAAGCCTAGAGCAGGACTGTACATAAGCAACATATGACTCAGTACCTTGTAATCAACAGCACCATGTAGGCAGGAAATAGGAGTCAATAAGTATATCATAGACCCATATGGGTTGGAAAGGATCTTAAAGACCAAACAGTTCCAATCTCCTGCCATGGGCAGGGACACCTTCCACTAGCCCAGGTTGCTCCAAGCCCCGTCCAACCTGGCCTTGGCACTTCCAGTGAGGGGGCAAGCCACAGCTTCTCTGGGCAACATGCACCAGGGCCTCACCATCCTCACAGGGAGGAATTTCTTCCCAATATCCTATCTAATCCTGCCCTCTGTGTCAGTGGAAAGCCATTTCATCTTGTCCGGTCACTCCAGACCCTTGTCCAAAGTCTTTCTCCAGGTCTCTTGGAGGCCCATTAGGCACTGGAAGGGGCTCCAAGGTCTTGCCAGACCTTGTCTCCAGGCCACCCAGGCAATGAGCCATTTAAATAGAAAAACTATCTCATTCCCTTTCCTTCTGTCCTCTGAATTCACCATTACACATAACCAGGCTGCCCAGTTGGAAGTACTGGACGATGTCAAGGGAAGAGGAGTAACATGGGTGATAGAGGGGGCAGAGATACAACCAGTGACAGAGGGATGAGCACTGTCGTTTACAGGGAGCAAGAAATGTTGAAATCTTTAAGGGCTGGAAAGAAACATGTGAAAAGTAAGACGACACCTGTTTATATGATTTGCAACTACCTTGTTGTGACAGTCTATGTAATAAGATCTCATAGCAGCAACATGCTAAAAATAGCACTCAGTGTGCTTATAAAACCTCTCGTCCTATTGAATTAAATAAATACAAAGCTCTGCAGTTCCTAGAAGTTTATCAACAGTTCCTGTGGCTGAGCCTAAAAATATAAATTTAAAAATCATAGTATTTTTTCATAAATATATTTCCTAATTTCTCCTTCATCCAGTCAGTTATGAAATATATACAAGGTAATGTATGCACGTTTTATCACCCAGGGTGGTTCTCTGGCTATTTCTGTTCTCTGTTCTCTGAGAAGAAATGAGACAACTCACCCTTGCCTAGTCCAGAAATGGCATCCGTAATCACCACCACCTTGTTTTGCACCGCTGACTTGGACAATAGCCACCTGACTGACTGGTAAAGATAAATAATTCCACTGATCCCTAAGAGAAGCAATGGTAGAGCAAGTACAGCAAGAATACCCATCTCTGTGGGAAACAAAAGACCATATGAGAGTACAGTAATCATAATACACATTAATTATTTTTCAAATATTCTTATCTAAAACCCCAATGTTTTCATATATAGAAAATCCAGTGATCAGAAAACCAAAGGTTTGAAGCAGTAGGTTGTTTTCCAATCCGTGAGTAGTATTACTATTTAATAGACAGGGTAATATTGTTTCTTTTTCTGTTTTTGTCATCTTTGTATGGTCTAGGCAAATCTTGATTCCTCTTATTCAAAATTACTATATGTTGGCAAAACCATAATAGAATGTAGATATATATGTATGTATATATGTACATATATGTACATTCTATTAGGCTTTAAGGCAAAAACATAGGCTAAAATATAACACTGAACTTTTAATTACAAACTTTTAATTATATTGCAATTATTAGAAAACAGAGAAAAAGCTTTTAATCCAAATTTCAGATAAAACTCACAATAGATGTCTTTGCTATTCTAAAAGATAGAGAAAATATAATCACTTACTATGGCTATGAAGACTCCAGATACAGATAAAGCATTCTACTGTATTTTTGTAAATCTTTGTATTACAGGTTTAATTAAGATCCTTTAGCAATTTCATAGAGCATTGATTTGTTGAGGCTGCTAGCCCTGAATGAGAATGGCTATATACAGCCCCGTGACAGAGGCACTGCCAGAGTAAATATAGCATCCACAGTGTGATCCACATGCCTGACCTATCGAGCCCAACAGCTTGGGCAGTCATATTAAAACTCTTCTTACAGTATCAATTCAACTGAACAAAGAACAACCTCTCCTGCCTTGCTTTTCATTGTTCATAATAATGTTTTAATTTCTTGTGATTGGCCTTCAATTAACTTTAGACATCAAAACATTTGTGTAAACTCCATAACAATAGGTCTTCAAAACCAAGGAAAAGGTACCATAAAGAAGTTGTCCCTTGCAATAACCATAGTTCAGCAATATGAATGATGTATGAATGTGTCAGGAAAAGGTCTCTGAGCAAGCTGACTTGGGAGTCAGTGCATCATACAGAGCTGCTGCAGGCAGATGAATGCTGGAAAGTAGATGAATGCTGGAAAGCAGATGAGGCTGGCATCCTGTGCTGCCAGGGGCTACAGGTTGCTTTCCACTCTTGGTATCTGCTAGACAGATCTGCCTCTTTCCCAGCAGTTTCAGGACCACATCAACTTTAGGTAGGTGATCTAACTCTTGCATTTCCTGCAGAGAGACATTATCTGTTCATAGAACCAGAGAATGGTTTGGATTGGAAGGGATCTTAAAGTGCTTCTCGTTCCACTCCCCTGCCATGGGCAAGGACACCTTCCACTAGACCAGGTTGCTCCAAATCCCATCCAAGCCCCATACACATTCAAGACTCCAAGTCCTGAACACTTCTAGGGATGGGGCAGCCACAACCTCTCAGGGGCAACCTGAGTAAAGAACTTGCTCCTAACACCTAATCAAATCTCTCCTCTTTTAGTTTAAAACTGAACCCCTTTTCCTATCATTATCTGCACATGTAAAAAGTTGTTCTCCCTCTTTTTTATAAGCCCCCTTCACGTACTGGAAGGCTGCAGTGCGGTCTCTCCAGAGCCCTCTCTTCTCCAGGTTGAACACCCCAGCTCTCTCAGCCTGTCTTCAGAGCAGAGGTGTTCCAGTCCTCAGAACAACTTTGTGGCCTCCTCTGGACTCCTTCAACAGGGTCACATCCTTCTTGTGCTGAGGATCTCAGACCTGGACACAGTACTCCAGAGAAGGTCACAGAAGGGCAGAGTAGCTGTGATTGTTAACCTGACAATCACACTTAACGAGTTGACCTTTGAGGTTCTAGGGAGAAGAAGGTTTTACCATAAATCATCCCTGTTTTGTTTTTTCAAAAAGTTGTATCACTGTCTTAAAACTGAAGTTCTGACAACCAGATTCACACTTCTGTTTGTGCTGTGTACCTGGCCATCTAAACTCCAATTTTCATCTCCAGTTAGAGAATGTAATCCTATAAATGATGAGTCACTGATGTCGGAGCGTTCTAACAAAGAACAAAGACTTCGTGGTTAGGTCTGCAGGTACCAGGACAGTGGTAGTTTTTGATGAGTGGGAATGGGTAGAAGGTTATTTAAGAGGGTGTAGAAGGGGACTTTTAGACTTAGTTTGTAAACCTAACTTGCTCTAGAAGCTAATGATTTCAGGAAGCAAGATGTGTATTCTTGTCTGTGAAAGCTGATGTTGCCTGCCAAAGAACTCATGATTTAAGGTTTAAGATTTCCAAACCACAGAATTGTATAGTGTGCCAATGCTTGAAACATTGCATGCATTTCTTTCTCAAACAACTCCATCATGAATGACAGATATGAATAAATACCTGTTTTCCAATACAAAATGGTCACGGTGTCCTGTAATGTACATCAGTTTCTACAGGAAAATGTAAAAACATTAAGTCAAATGAGCTGAGGAGTTGTGCCAAGCCACCTGCAGCAACAGAGAGGAAATCGGATTTTCCATCATTCTTAAAGACCCAGCTATCTTCTCTTACTTTTAAAGCATCAGCTTTTAATAAACAAATGTGCAGTTCCCTATCAACAACTGAGCTAGTTTGTTCCTTTAATGGAACATGATGTGTTGTTTGTTTAATTCATTGAGGGTTCTGGAAATATTTATTTCTGGGAAGGTTAAACATTAAAAAAAAAAAAGCACACACTAAAGATATTTATATGAGTTCCAAGTAATCTGTTTCCAAATGAACCCGGACAATGGTAAAAGTAATGCAGGAGCAAGACTAGGATAAGGTCAATGGAAAGAACTTGACAGCACACAATGTGTAAGATTGCAAACATAAAATGCTAACATGTCTATTAATAAAAATGAACAATTTTAAAGGAAAACTGCCAAAGTCATCTGGAAATATACAGACATACAGTGACTGTAATAACCAAAACACACAAATCTTCCCAAGCACAGAAATCTCAGCCTGGTGAAGTTCGAGAAATGTATTATGCACTGCCACCTTCAGAGTACCCTTGGGAACACCGGAGGAACAGGAATAACTAAAAACTATTCTAGAGGGCAGTTCCCATTTAAAGGGTAAGTTACCTACAGGGAAACTTGAACAAAAGTGAGGCTTTCTCTCTCCCTCATCTGATTCTGAAAGTCTCTTATATCCTGAGCTCCAGGAACTGTCCCAGATGATGCCAGGGCTGAACAGTGTCCAAATCTGGAGATCTAGAGCTTGTTTCCCTGAAGTGCTCAACCCAGGTCGCTGCCTGAGAGCATCAGCATGCACTTACAAACATCTGCATTACTGACATTTCACATTGTTCAGAAGTGCTTGACAAAGCATTTGGTGGATATTCTTTGATGTTTTGTTTGTGGTTTTGTTATTTTTTTTGGAGGAAGAGTTTAACTCATTATAGAGAAAGCAATGATTAGGGGCACTGGTGGTTAGCATTCACCCAGGAATAAGAAACCAAGATTTCAAATCTGTGTCTGTTCCAGAAAGATGATTCCATCTTTACAGTTGTCGTCGAGGGTTGTGAACTCCCTAAACATGGGCATACTCTTGTCCACAGCAAGGTTTAACCAGTCCAACATCTACAATTTCTTTCTTTGAGTAGAAATGGAAGGACATATGGATTTTCATATACTTTGAGAGGGTATATGTCTCTAACAGTGAAAGTCAGAGACATTTTTAACACTAGCAATAGCCAGGCAAAGTGTTTTAATTCTGTGGTTCTTATGCTCCAGATAAGGGAACATGTAGGCTGTAGTGAGTCCTGTATTTTCCATTTGTCTCAGCCAAATGACACTGTAGGTGAATTTTACCTTTTTTTGTCTCCCTTCAGCCCTTTTTTCATTATTCTTACATTCTTATTGATTCTCTCTGTATTTTCTTTTGATAGCTCTGAGATCACTGAGCATATTGACAGGACAGCTTCTACCTAAAGATACTTCTGGGATTTGCTAGAATTCCTGTGTTTATACCTATGTCAGCCATTTTTGAATGATGCTGATGCCTTAAGCCCCTAATGTTTTTTTATTTTTCTGATATTGGTAAGCCTTATAAGTTTTATAAGTAGATTTTTAAAAGCAGTAACCCTCCCTCCTTTGTCCCTTGTCCCCTTCCCTTTCTCTGTAGCACCCTTGTTTACACACTCCTTAGCCCTCTTACCCCATTCTATGATCCCTATATCACCCCTACTCCCGAATCCAGTAAAAATGTTTAGTCTTTTGTCAAGGCAAGGCCTAGATTGTTGGCAAAACAGCATATCAGGGCCTAAACCACAGAACACGGTCAAGAATTGGGTGACTATGTACCCTTTGTGCTCTGATGAAGATGGGATGAACAGAGGGTCCCGAAACACACCCCAGACCCATTTTCAGGGGGTGGACCCAGGGCGGACCAGAGTAAAGGCCACAGGGTGGACACATCTGGGATTGGATGGATGGTATTATAAAATGTAACATCTCAGGCACGGCCTGCGGGCGCATCTTGTAACATCTTAGCCTTGGCATAATAAACCCTTTCTTATCTCACCCCTAATTAACTGCTCCAGAGATTTTTTCAGCACCTAACTCCCACGGCAACATGCTCACCTCAGAGACCTGTTGTTGACTTGCAGGATTAGCCCATCATATAATATTACCATGAATATTTTCAAGCACTGAAAACCATAGAAATTCTTGCTTGAAAAAGCAGTCAGCACCATGTTTGGTCCTGGGAGCAGCAAGAACATAATTTCCATTCTCAACGTAAAAATTTAATATTAAAAATTTTTTATTAAAAACCTGCTCTTTGAAAAGTACTGTAATCACAATGCAAGAGCCAGACACTTTAAAATCAGAAATACAGTATCAACAGAAGAACATCTAGTTCAAGTCAAACACGCTGCCTCCTCAAGGTAAAAAACACTCCTCAGTCCATGCAATTACTTATTTGATGTTCTCACACACGTAGAGCAGTGGTGTGCCACAGTATGTAGGCATGGTTCCTCCTACATACTCCAAAAGATAAGCATCTTGACCAAAAGCTACAAGGAAACTTGGTATTCATCTCAGTAACAGAGACATACAAGCACATAGTCAACGAGCCCTCTATTCTCCAGAGGGAGATTCTACTGGGTTGACCAACAGGTTTCCCTCCAGCTTCCTGGTGGGCTTCAATCTGCTGTCAGCTTCATCACAATCTATAGGCATCTGCACTCCTACTGTTGGAAGATCTCATATCTTCTTTGTACCCGATTTCATTCACTGATTTTTTTCTACTTCTGAATAGCTTTTTGTAGACATTTTGTTGCCCTTTTTTTTCTCAAACTCCTTCCAAAGAAACAATCCACTCGGAATTACTTTTTGTCCATTGGTCCCAGTCTGGCAACATCCATATGCAAATTATGTGGTTCCAATCTGGTTACCAGGCAATCCCAACCTGATAAAGTGTTATTGATATGATTAGTGAGTGCCCTACCAAGACTCCGCACCTCCAAATTATCCAAGTTATCCCATTTATAACAATTGAGTATCAGTTATCTTATATGCTCCCTGAAAATAGTCATTGCACTTCAGACTTCACTCTTCTGCCTTGCTTACAGACAGTCCGCACATTAGAGCAAGAGAATGTTTTTCACACTGGTGAGAGCAGATAGCATCCTTGTCCAGGAACTGGCTCAGACAGTGTAGTGGTTCCCTGTACACACTCTGGCCAGCTATAAGATCTAGTGCCTTATAGTGCTGCTGAAGGATTTTTTGCTCACAGACTCCCTCTTATGGATTTAAGGAAAGAGATCAGTTCTCACCGTGCACAACTTATCACAGCCAGTCAGATTATATTTTTGATCTGCTATCATCACTGGGAAACTTTAAAAATGTTTCATGGCTTTCAAATTCTGGTCTCCCTCATAACTTACAAGTGCCTATGGAAAACTAATTGGCAGTAGAATGTTGTTTCACAGTATAACCAAGTTTCCATTCCTTCGAGGATTTCAGTGCTTGGTGTCTCTCCCTTTATTTTTCCCCTCACTCCCAAATTCTATGTAAAAAAGATCACCTTAGCCTTCTCTTCCTTTCTCTTCCATGCCTTTTAAAACCTCTTCTATCTTTGCTAGAAGACCAGAAGACAGTCTTCCTACTGTGCTCCAGACTGGACATGTCACCTTGTGTTTTCAACACTACACCTAGGGACTGTTTAATCCCGTTTTACACTATAGCAAATACATGAGCAAATACATGAGGCTTATCTGCAGTACATGAGCTTGGAAGTCAGTGCTAGTCTGGTTTTTTAACCACCATATGGTTTATTGAAGGATGGCAAGAGGCAGACTATTTACCTTCACAGACGGTCTCATGCTGTAAAAAAGCACCTGCTGGTCTCAGCATACCCTCCCTGAAAAATCTTCTGAAAAGTAAGTTCAGTTTTCAGAACAAGCCACCATTTGTAACTCTTGCTGCTGGAGACATTTAAGAAAAATAGCAAGTACTGATATCAGTCAGAAGGTCTCTGATGATGCTTTAGAGATTTCACTGCTCAAAACACTTTTTTATCTTCCCTACTCGCCCTGGTTTTGATGGTGACTGTGAGTCCATCTGATTCATCCCTGGATTCATCATAGGCCCAGAAATCATGACCCTGCAGACAGGGTGGTGCAGACTGAGCTCTAAAGTACTTTCTGACACAAGGTAAATGCACTCCCATTCCACAGGATTCCTACCTGCAGCTCTGGATGGCAAGGCTAGGACACTTCCTTGCCACACCTTGGCAGTTGCTGGGAATGTCTTGTTCCAGCTCAGGGATGCAACAAGCACGCAGAGTAGATGCTCCACTTCCCTCTGAGCCACTTATCGCCCACAAACAATTGGATCTCACAGCACCGCCTGTGTGATTTCCTGACCTCTGTTCTTTCCACAGCCCCATGAGATTCTGGACCTGCAAGAACCACGGATGAGCATCAGTCACGTGAGCTGCCACTGCAACATTCCGCCAGGCTTCAAATGCCACAGTCTGGCGCAGGGTGGGGTCGGCACCCCGATACACAGCCTCCCCCGCTCAGACCGCGTCATGGAGAGGGGCGAGAGGGGCACTCCCGGCGGGGAGGGGAACCGTTCCCCAGCTTCCTCAGCCTCGGCCCTCCCCAGGGGATCCCGTTGCACAGGGACCCTCCCAAAGAAGGCGAGCGGGATGCGCGGGACCCAAAGCAGAAGCCCGCGGGGCCAGGGCAGTGAGCGGAACAGGGCCGAAGGGCGTAGACAGGCCAGGTAGGAGGGGCCTGGCCCCGCCCGGCGCGGCCAATCGGCGCTCTCGGCCCGCCCCGCCACCGCCGGGCTGCCAATGGCCGCGAATGTACGCGGCGCTAGTGGAGGCGGGCGGGCGGGCGTGACGGGCGGGACCCGGCCGGAGGGGCCCTGTGGCCTGCGGAGGGCTCTGGATCCGGCTGCCGTCCCGGTGCCAGCCCAGCTCCTGCTCTCGGTTGTGGCCGCGAGGCACGGCGGCTGTCCCCCAGAGGGGGTGCCCCCGCGGGTCTTCCATTAAGCCTCCTGTCCGCGCTCACCATTTCCGCAGAGCAGGGCCAGGACACCCGAAGCCTGCCAGCGCTGCAGTGCTTCCCTTATTTAATGGCGGCGTGGCGCATGCGCCGTCCGCCGGCAGAACCCGGCCCGCCATGCCGAATGAAGGCACTTCCGGATTACCGCCGCGCGGCACACATGATGTGAAGGCCACGTGGTCCTCCCATCATGTGACCTGCGGCGTTCGCGGGCAGGAGGTGGGAGATTCTCGTGGGATTGGAGGGGGAGGACTGTGGGGGGAGGTGTCCTGGATGTGGAGATTTGGGATCACTAAGTGGACCGTGGGAGTCTACAGGGGTCTGAGCACGCGGGGAGGAGTGGGGGAGGGACTCCACAGGCCAAGCCCGGAGCGCCCCCCCCATTCGGTGATGCCCCCCTGATCCCCCCCCCGTGCCCCTCAGGCCATGGCCGCCCCCCGCCCCCTCACGGTGGTGCCGGGCGAAGCCTCCGAGAGCGACTCGGAGCAGGAGCTGCTGGTGGGGGCGGCGGCGGGAGCCCCCGGGGCCGGGCTGAAGGTGCCTGGCGAAGCCTCTGAGACCGAAGAGGAGGAGGAGGAAGAGGAGGAGCATAGACCGAAGATATCCCCAGTGCTGGCGGAGGAGCCGGCGACGGTTTGGGGGGGCGGGCGGGGGAGCCCCTCGCTGCTGCAGCAGCGGCTGCGGGAGGGGACGGGGCGGCTGCAGGGGGCGGTGGGCAGCGCCCTGCGGCAGAGCTACGGCAGCGCCGCCCGGAGCTTGGGGGGGCTGGAGGGGGCCCTAGGCCGGGCGCAGGTGACCGCCGCCGCCGCCGCTCACTGCCTGCGCCTGGCCCGCCGCGACCTGCGCGCTGTGGCCGACACCATCGACATCGTCACGGCCTGTCGCCTCCTGCCCGACATCCGCGTACAGCTCTGACCGGGACTGGGACGAGGCATCACGTTCACCATCCCCACTGTGGCTGTCACCCGCGGCAGCAACACCTGCCAGACATCCACGAGCAGCTGCCGGCACCACTCCTGTCCTCATGGCATCACCAGTGCTGCATCTGCCGTGGTTGGCTCATCATCATCGCTGCAGTGTCCTGCCGAATGTGTGGTTGTGGTGGCATCGAGTCGTGGCTGCAGCACCTCACACCGACTTTGAAGATCTCACCACCACGGTGGCATCCCCAGTGTGGTCACAGTGACACCAAACGGCGGCTTTGGCACAGAGACCACCACCCTGCCACCCCAGGACCTCTGCACTCTGGTGACATGATCACTGCTAACCCCCTGGCCAGCTGCCACCATTCCTGAACTGCAGCCTCACGCTGGCTCCAGTCACTGCTGACCCCACCGTTTTGTGTGACACAGAACTGAATAAAGCCATGGTGTTGTCAGAGCCACAATGGGGAGCTCGGCCAGTGCCATGGGGACAGGGACACACAGGGGACAGCGTGCAGGGTCAGGGTAGGGCAACATGGGTCCTGCTGTCATATTGCAGTGGTGTTTTGAGTTCACTGATAGCCCAGAGGACAGGATTGGTGACCTGGGGCATGTATCCCCCATGTCCCCTATCACCCTCTGGTGACGTCCCGGTGCCCACCCCCTGACACACATATTGTGTCCTTCCTGCCATGTCCCCAGCAGCGGGATATTGAGGGGACAGTGAATGAGGACAAGAGGACCGCAAGAGGGGGGACAGAAGCCCCACCCTACCCCAAGAAGAACATGCCCTAGGGCCAGACAGGGGTTTATTTGGGGGAACACTTGCCCCACACCCCCTGACACAGGGAGGGGGGAGGGTTCCCAGAGGGGCTGGGAGTCCCTGGGGGGAGTCACATGCCGGTGTCCAGGCTGTCCATGTACTCTTGCAGCGCCCACAGCCGGGCATCGATCTCAGCCAGCTCAGCCGAGGGCTCCTCAGAGTGGTTCTCTGGGGAGGTCAGTGCAGGGAAAATGGGTTAACGAAGGCCTGAATTGGGTTGGGGGGCACCCTGAATATCCAGGGACTTGGATGGGGCCTCACCTTTACCAGGGCGCTTGCCAGCAGCACTGCGTATGGGCACCTTGTGACTGGCAGCCAGGCGAGGTGCCTGTGGGAGAGATTGGCGGTCACTGGTGTGTGTCCCCCCACTCCTTGTGCTCACCCCACTTTAGCATGTAGATGTGGGGCCCCAAATGGGTGGGGGGACCCCAAAGGGGCTGCCACTCACCATACAGGGGCCATTGCAGGACAAGGTGCTCAGGGGTCTCTGGGTATGGGTCACCCTCCTGTCCCTGCCCAAGATAGGGGGGTTTAAGAGGTGCCAGGAAGGATGCCCAAGCATCCTGCCCCACACCAGCGTTACCTGTGGGGCATGGCCTCGGGGCACTCACTGCCTTTGCTGCCAGAGCTCACTGCTGAGCACCAGCTCCGGAAGCTTGTGGCTGCAGGGAGAAATGGGGGGAAGGGAGGAAGTTGAGGAAGGAGCACCAGCACCCAGTGGGTGCCCCTTGGCCCGCTTCATGCTCCCCACTCACCTGACGAGCTGCGCCCATGGCTCCTCGCCGGACTGGAGCTGTTAAAAGCTGCCCTGTGCCGCTGGCTGCACCCAAGGGAGATGGTGAGTGGGAGCAGGGGATCCCCCAAGTGCCGGGGAGGAATGGGACAGTGGGATGGTGACAAGTTCACTGTCACCGCTTACTTTCTGAGCTCAGCCTCCTTCTGCCGTCGCTGCCGGGCCCTGACGAAGGCAGTGGGGTCGAAGCGTGGGAGGCGGGAGCCTGGTGAAGGGGTGAGAAAGAGAGGGTCAGGATGAGGAGCGGGTGAGCCATGTCCTGTCTCCACCCCATGTGTGTCCCCCCAAGCGACCCACACCTGCAGGTGATGGGGATCGCAGAGAGGGGCGGCCCCGGCTGCTCCTGTGGCTCTCCAGGGATGCCGAGCGTCGCTCCTGGGGGCAGGGGGCCGTGCTGGCAGATGTCCGGCGGCTGCCAAGAGGACCAGTGCCATGAGGGGGGGATATCCCATGGTCATGAGAGTCCCCCTGTACAGCCCACCCCAACCTCACCCCCTCCTGCAGGAGGCCAGTTCGGCTGTCAGGCTCTTCACCCGCAGCTGCAGCCTCTGCTCTGATGCCTTTGCCTCGGCCAGCTGCAAGGCGGGAGAAAAGGTTCACTGTGCATCCGGCAGCCCCCCTTCCCGCTGCCAGCAGTCCCCAACCTGCAGGCCCCCCCCCATCCCCTCCCAGCCCACCTGGGCAGCCAGCTGATGGTGCTCACGCTGATGCCGGGCCTCTGCCACCCGCTTCTCCTCCAGTGCCCGTCGCAGCCTGAGGGGGATGGCAGGGTGTGGTCTGGGGGCTCCTTCCTCACCTTGAACCCCCCAACCCTTCTGAGTGCTGCAGGCCCCACTCACGCGTCCCGCAGGTGCTGGATCTCCTCCAGGCGTCGGGCCCGGAGCCGTGCCAGCTCCTCCCGCAACTCCCGCACCAGTGTGGCAAGGTCCGGCCGCCCGACGTAAGGCAGCGGCAGCGGGTAGTGGATCCTGGGGAGGAGCACGTGGAGGGGGTGAGGCTGGTGTCACTCCTCCGTGACCCCTGCCCAGTGTTCCCTGTCACCTATCAAACTCCACAGAATAGACGAGGATAAGGTAGCGCTTGGTGCTGAGGGGGGAAGAGGAGGAAGGGGGAGGCCGGGCGATTGCCCCCACTTTCCGGCTACGCAGGGTCTCCAGGTCGGCGTAGGTGAGGAGCTCCAGGCTGACGGACTCGCTGCTCTGCAGGGGGTTTGAAAAGTGAGGGAGGCTCAGTGGGACACACACCCCACCACATTTGCCCCCAAAATGCCATGTAGGGGAGTGGCGCAGCCACACCTGCATCAGTGCTGACTCCAGCATGCTGCAGAAAATGCCAAACTGCTTGAAATTCCCCGTTTTGCGGGTCAGGTCCTCGATGACTGCGAGGAGGGGGTACTTCAGTGAGTGGCAGTCGTGGGGGGCTCCCTCGGTCCTCCCCCAGGTCCCCCCCGGCACTCACAAGCGGCATCGAACTCGCCCCTCCACAGGTCGGCGGTACCGTGAGCCTCCACCTCCACCTGCAGCGCAGTGCGAGCCAGAGTCACCCGCACCGTGTGCGTCCCGGGCCGAAAAGTGCAGTCGGCCTGCAGGTACCGCGGCTCCGCCATGGCGCGGGGGGGGGTCTGTGGGGAGAAGGCACCCTGGGGAGACAGGGGCACCCCAGGAGTAGGGGGGGCACCCCTAGAAGACGGGGAGGGCACCCTCGGGAAAGGGGACCCAGGTTGGAGGGCTTGGTGCAGGTGAGTTGGGGTGGATTCTGGGGTGGTATCTTCAGGGAGGGAGCGGGAGTGGAACTGATGGCGGGAGCACAGACAGGGGAAGGCGGCGGCGAGGCCACAGCATCAAGGAAGGTGACCAGGGAGAACCTCAGGGCATTCGGATATTAGGGCTCTGCTGGGGGGGAGGGAGGGGGGGGGGGCGCGGAAGGCAGTTTGAAGGGCTGGAGAGAGTACAGAGGGACACAGGGAGAGCCCAGGGCCTGGGGCTGCTGCCTGGGAAGCAGGGGGGAGCCAGGGCTTCGGGGGCCTGTACCGAGGAAGGGGAACTGGTGGTCAGTTCTGGGCGCAGCGGGGCGGGGGGTGGCCCGGGCGTATGCTCAGGCGGCAGATAGCGGGAGCAGCCCCGCCGGGATTGGTGCTGGGACCGCAGGAGAGTCCGGGCCCCGAGAACGACCTGCGGAACCGCGGCCCGCCGGCTCAGCGCTCACCGCGATCCGCCGCGCGTCGGCCGCAGCCCCACCCCCCGAGCCCCGCGCCATTGGCCGGCCGCGTCCCCCTCCGCCGCGCCATTGGCTGCTCGCGCCGCCTGTCACCTCACTGCCGTTAGCCGCTGGGCTGCCCGCCGGCCTCTCGCTGCCATTGGCTGTCAGGCGGAGCCCGCCTCCCGCCTCCACGGCGCCTTTGGTTACTACGGCTGTCAGTCTCGAGAAGGGGAGGAGCGACGCCTGCGTGTGGAGCCCTTCGACCGTGACGCCACAGGCCCCGCCCCCTCCCACGATTACGGCCTGGCCCCGCCCCCTTCCACTGGTCGTCACCGATTCCACTCTATTCCCGCCCTTCGGGAGCGCGAAACGGGGGATAGGGAAGGGGGGGGGGGGGGGGGGGCGTGGGCCTGGGCCGGAAGGACTGGGCTAGATGTGGGGGAGACGACACGTCCGGGGACGGTGGAAGTGGGCGAGACAAGTTGGGGAGCAGCTGAATCTCGAACCAGTTTTTATTAACCAGACTGGAGGCATGGCAGGGAGGCCTCGGGAGGCCCCAGGCACCCCAGTATTTGGGAGTATTCCCCCAAATTGCAAAATATCCCCCTGAATTGTTGGAAGGGGCAGCCCCAAGACTTCAGATCCCCCCCGAACATTCCAGGGGATAGGCCCCCAGAAGAAATGGAGGAGGGAAGCGCAGCACACCCTCAAACTGCCTTTGGGAATCCCAGCAGCCCTTCTCAGGCAGGACTCTGTAGGTCTGTCCATGCACTCGGTGACACTGATGGCATTTATGAGCGCTTGTGATGGCACTCTGGGGACCCTTGGTGGCAACATGAGCCCTGGGAGAGGAGATGCCAAGTTCTCCCTCTTCCCCCACTGAAAAAGCCGTGCTGGAGTCAGGGCAGAGGCAGTTTGAGGACATCCAGGGGTCTCCAGCAACTGGAATCATCCCAGTAGTACAACACCACATACTAGAGGTGCCACCACCCTTGCACAAGCCCTGTTTGGCCCTCAGTGGGGCCTTTTGGGGTGGTTTCCTGCTTTCTGAGGAAGGCAAGAGGAACTGCAGGCCCTGCTCCAGGGCCATGGGGACTCCTCACTTCTCTGGGCAGATGAGGATGCATGCAGGAGGAGCTGTTGTTGGATGGAGCCAGCCAACTGCAGCCCTTAAAACCTGCTGCTCCCTATCTCAAATGTCCCAGCTAGACGGTAGGAATGCATCAGCTTGCCCAAAAAGTTTTCAAAGCATAGCCACCAGCAGCTGGACTGTTGGGCCTGACCTGCTTCCCGGTGTGACACAGGGGACACCTGCACCATTAGAGAGAAGGAAAGATGAGCACTCTCACCCTCACCAGAGTAGCTCAAGACCTACTTTATTGTAAGTGCATGAGGAAATGGGTCTGGGGAGCCTTAAAAGGCGGCTTTGAGCCAGCCAAATTGCAGACTGAATTCTCTCCCTCTGAGAGGGAGCATTTGGAACATATCCAATTGGTTTGGGGCCAGAAATGAGCCTTTGGACTCTACAAATGAGGCTTTGAACCTCCCAGATCAAACTTGGGGCCTTGAAAATGATGCTCTGGACCCTCTAAATGAGTCTTTGAACTTTAAAAGCATAAACCTTGTGACGTGTAAATGTAGTTTTGTAGTATGAAAGTGTGGGTTTGTATCTTAAACTATTTGGTCTCCCAAGTGTAGGCTTTAGGGATTTAAAAGTGATGCTGTTTTCCTTACTTTGGAGGATTGCATTATATAAATCAGGCTTTGTACTTGAAAACCTTGGGGTTGAATCAGAAAAATAATCCTTTGGACCTTGAAATTGTAGTTCGGGATCTCAATTTTTTTTCCTGGGTTTTTTATTTGTTTGGTTTGTTGTTTTTTTTCTGGAGGGGGGGGTGTTGTTTGGGGTTTTTTTGTCACTGAGATTCATGTTCCAACCCTAAGAATGAGGGGGTTTTGACTAAAGCATTCCTGTGTTATCAGCCCTGTTCTTAGCACAAACCCATCGCCCTCAGGGTGGTTAACCCTGGGGCCTATCACACCTGGGGGGGATTAATCCTGGAGGCCATCACCTTTGGGGGGAGGCAACCACCCTGGTTGTTTTTTACTCTTCAGGTCCATTAGTCCTTGATCCCATCACCCTTGGGATGATTAACCCTGGGCCCACCAGAGGTGCTTTACCCTGTTGGCCCATCACATCTCAGGCCCGGCCCCCTCAGGGTTATTAACCCTGGGGGACCATCCCGCTGGGGGCTCATCCTTTTTGCTTTGAAGGACCCTGGGGCCCACTAAGGTGACCATGAGCAGCAGGATGCAAAGGATAATGCATCACTATCCTGGGTGGCACTTGGAGGCAGGTGGCAGCAGTGTTGTGTGCTCCTTCCTCTCCACTCAGTACTGGTGAGCCCACCCTTTGAACACTGGGTCCAAGCCCTGGGCTATCAGTACAGAACAGACTGTCGGCAAGCCAGCCCAGGAACAGGCCTTGGAGATGCCCCATGGCCAGGAGCCTCTTGGAGGGGCTGCAGGAGCTGCTCAGCCTGGAGCAGGTTTGGCTGCAGAGGGTCCCACCGAGGTATGGTCTCAACACTGGCAGAGGCAGGACAAGAGACGCCAGGCACACACCCAGAGCCAGAGTGACTTGGGAGGACATGTTTTTTACTGTAGGGGTAACTGAGGCTCCTTGGGAAAGTTCTGGGGTCCCAAACTGGGGAGGGGTAAAAGGCCACCCGGACACAGCTATCGTGGTTTCCCTGGGGCTTGCCTGAGACCCCAGCACCCCCTGAAGGGCCCTGCTTCACCCAGGACTCTCCTAGGGGCCTTCCCAGGCCTGCTGAGTCCCAGAGACCCTCCCAAGCTAAGACCCCATGCTAGTCTTTGCTGTGCCCTGGTGACCCACCGGGGCTTTCTTTGGAGGGGAACAGCAGGTGATACCAGGGACACAGGGTGGGCTCATCGTCTCCCCCAGGCCAGCACATGGAGTTGGTGGGCAGCATTGCGCAGCCGCTCACGGTGCTCAAGGCGGCAGTGCAGCCCCAAGGGGACGGATGTCAGTCCCCCCTGCAGCCCCCAGCACCCAGCAGCGATGGTCCCCGTCGAATCGTTGTCCCCACCATGCAACACTGCCCTGCCACACAGGTCTTCCCAGCATCCACCGGCTGCCAGCAGGGCTTCTAGGGCCACCATGGGTGCATCATGGCCACTGCGCCCTGCCCACCCCTCCAGCGCCCAGCCTAGGTACACTGTGTCCCGCTCGGCTGGGGACGGGAGGGATGGCACCTGGGCTGGGCCACGTCCCTCCAGAAGCCCACGGGAGTCCAGGTACCTGCAGGGACATGGGGACACTGAGGTCACTGGGGATATCGGTGGCAGCAGGGATGACACTGAAGACATGGGGAGTCATCAGGGACACTGGTGTCAGTGGGGACATTGGTGTCACCAGACAAGGGGGTAACCAGTGACACTGGGGGTCACTGGGCGATGGCTCTCTAGCAGCCCCAGGAACCTGTGAGGACACTGGGGACAATTGGTACACCTTGGGGGGCACTGTGGCACTGGACACAGTGGGCACACCAGTAACACCAGGAAAACCCATAACCCCAGGAACCCTAGGGACACACAGGTCAGTGTCCCTGAGGATGGCATCACTGACGGGACACAGGTGCAGCAGGAACAGGATGGGCAGTGCCAGCCCTGTAGACAGACTGGACATCAGGATCAGCAGTAACCCCAGTGCGATGCGCTGTCAGGACTGGGACAGAGCCTAGTGGGCACCAGTGACACCAATGGCCCCTGAGCCCTTCCCAGTATCCTCCCCAGTCCAACCTTGTGCTCCCAATGTCTCCCCAAGGCCTTCCCAGTGACCCCTCACCGGTGCCAGGCCTCCCCAAAGAAGGACCAGGCAGCAGCATTGTCCTCCACAGCCACACCAGTGCCCTCCACGTAGTCCCATGCCAGGGGCAGGACCCGCAGCAGCTCAGCCCCCCAGCGCTCTGGGGGCTCTCCCCGAGCCCCCAGTGCCCCAAAGAGGGCCACTGCCAGTGCCCCGAGGTACCCTGTGGGGACAGGGGCTTCAGAGGGGTTCCTGTGTCCCCTCCTGCCCTGCCTCCCTCAGGCTGGCACGCACCAGTGGGGTGGTGGTGGGTCATGCGCCCACTCTCGATGCTCACCCGGATCAGTGTCGGCAGCTCCCAGGCATGTGGATACCTGTACTGGCATCGGACAAGTCCCCACCGCCCCAGTCCTGTATCCCCAGCCTTGTTCCCATCCCCATCCCACCACCCTTGTCCCCACAGTCCTTGTCTCTGCTGTGCCCATTCTCCCTATTGCTGTCCCCGTGTTCTCTGTCCCCGACCTCCCAGCTCCAGCACCACCATGTCCCCAAATCCCAGACCTTGTCCTCTCCAGCCCCACCCCTTTCTTCTCCCTCTGACATCCCCATGTCCCTGTTACCCCACCCCCCATCCCCTCATGTCCCTTTCCCTCCAGCTCTGACACACCCATTTTCCCAGCCCCAACATCCTCATGTCTCCACTCCCCCAGCTCTGACAGTCCCTCACCCCCATTCCCCCTGTCCCTGTTCCCCCACGTCCCTCCAGCCCTGACACCCCCATGTCCCCATTCCACCCATTTTGACACTCCCACATCCCTCTTTGACACCCCCACATACCCTGTCCCCATCTCCCCAGCTCTGATACCTCCGTCCCCGATCCCCACCTGTCCCCCCATTTCTCCATTCCCACCTGAGGCCGATGGCCAGGCTGCGCATGGCGGCCCCGCAGCCGGTGCCGCGGGGGTTGAAGGGGATGCGATAGCCCTCGGGCTCCCCAGGCCGCAGCTGTGAGGTGCCTGGGGGAGCATGGGGGCGTGAGGCCCCCTAAGCCCCCCTGCCTCTCCCAGGATCCTTGAGCCCCACTCACCCAGGATGCTGGTGGGTCCAGGCTTGCGTCCCTCCATGTCTCCCATGGCAGCCACGTAGCGGCGAGCCAGCTCCTGCAGGAGGGGTTCCCCCTCCAGGCCTGGAGGGGGAGCATGAGGTCCTCCCTGGGTTACCCAGGCTGGCAGGGAGGGGAGGGAGAGGCCCCATGTACCCCCCGAAACTGAAAGGGAAGAGGAAGACCCCCCCACTGCACCCCGCCCAAAACATGTGGGGAAAGGGTACATCGCCCCACAGACACCCCAAAACTGGAGGGGGGAGGAGAACACCCTTCATGGACCACCAAAACTGGAGGGAAAAGGAGACACCACTCACACCACCCCCAAAAGGGGAGGGGAAACAGGACAAGTTTCATGGAGAAATGGGGAATCCCCCTGAGCACTCCAATTTGGGTGGGAAAGGGGTACCCTGCCAGGTCTCTAAAGTGGGAGGGGAAAATGTTCCCCCCTCTAGCCCCCAATATGGAAGGGCACATAAATGGTGAAAAACACAGAGACACAGACAGACACACACTCCCCACCTGCCACTCTCCCTGAGGACACCCCCCTCCCGCCCAAGCCTCACTGGCTAAACTTTAAAAGGGGAGGAGAGGGGGAAAGTGGAATTAGAATGCCCCCAAGCCCCCTCCAGGGCTGGCCAGAGTGCCCCCAAAAGCCCCTCCCAGCAACCCTCCAGTTTAGGTCATGGATACAATGGGGGACTTCTGCCCCATACAGCTCAGGGCTAAAATGGGGACCCCCCTCAGACCCAAGGCTATATACAACCCAACCAAAAGTTAAGTCCCACCCTCTGGGGGATATAGTGAGGACATCCCCCTCACCCAGAACACTCCACTGCTAGCCTGGGGTACAATGGGGACCCCAATCCCAGGGATCTGTATCTGTGGGGTGCCATGGAGCCCCCCCCACCTGTGGCCAGGCCTTCGGCGGTGGCGAGGTGCAGGACGGTGTCATCGCTGACGGGCCACTCGGGGGGCTCGAGGGTGATGGCCTCTAGCCCCCCCAGCTCAGCCAGCTCAGCGTGGATCTGGGGGCCTGAGGTGCAGTACTCCCAGCGGCCCCCTCGGTACCCCAGCGCATCCCCCACCCCGCTGAGCACCATGGCCGCCTCGTAAGCTTCCACTGAGGGCACCCTGGAGGGAACAGTAGGTTCAGGGGGTGCCAGCAGCGGGGGAACCTCAGGGCCCCCGGCGCACTCACGTCTCCTCCATGGCAGAGCAGCTGGAGATGCCTGTTAGAGGCTCGGGCACGGAGCCAGTGCTGGCCGGGGGCCCTTAAGGGGCCCAGAACACCTCTGGGATGGGGGGAGGAGCAGGGGGGCATTCCAGGGGTGTTACAGATGAGGGATGCCGAAAGAGGGAGAGACTCCAGGGAGTCCTGTAGGACACCCAGTGGGACTGGGGGGCTCAGAGAGGCAGCTAGAGAGGCATGGAGGGAGGTGGAGGGGTGCTGTACCCAAATGGGCATGAGGAACCTGGGGGAGCACCCTGAGGGACCTGGGGGACATCCAGAGGGAAATTAGGGATACCCCAAAGGGGCATGGAGGCACCCAAAAGGGCCTAAGTGAAACACTTAGAGAGGCCAGAGGCCTCTTAAGGATTTGGAGCACAGAGGGCTGGGGTATAGCAGCCCCAGGGGAGAGAAGGAGCACGACCAAGGAAGAATGGTTCCACCAAATATTTCCCTATACTTATTTTGCTATGACAGGGCAAAAACATGGCCCTGAGCCGTATTTTGGGGCAAGATCTCACAACACTGCTCTGACCTGGGTCACCAGTGAGAGGTTCAAAGCTCCACCTTAAATTTCTGAGTGGAGCAGCACAGCTCAGGCCAGGTCCAGGTCAGGGCGACTCCTGTGCTTCAGCACCAGAGTTTCATCTTGGATTTGGTCCAAATGATACCAAATGAGGCACAAATCTTTGGTCTACTGGTAAAAGTCTGGAAAAGGGGGTGGTTAGTGATCAAAAAGCTGAATAACAAGGTTTAAAATCCATTGTCATGTTGGAAAAATTTTAAAAAGCCAACACTTGGGGGACAAAAAAATGATGTTTTGGAGGCTTTTTTGGCTGGACACACAAAAACGGAGGAGTTATTCTACTACACTGTGAAGAGGGAGTTCAGAACCCAACAGAGGAAGCTCTGGAGCCTGTGGGTCAGGGGCAGGACAACCTGAAACCCTGCAGTCCAGGACACACCCAAGATGCACAGGTTTGGTCCAGGGCTTCCAAAACACCCCTGTCAGGGACCAAAGCCTTCTCTTTAGGATTCAGCCTGAAATTTGGTGGGCTCAAATCTTATTTTAAGCCTCTAAAAACCCCTTTTTAGGGGCAAAGCCCTTATTTGTGGTAATGAAGCATCCTTTGAGGGCACAAAACCTAACTTCAGGGTTCAAACCCTCCTTTTCATTTCTAAAGCTCAGTTCTCAGGTATAGACTGAGTTATTAGAACCACAATTTAAAGAATCCGAGGGAAAGGCAGAAGCCTTGGAAGAAAGATTAGAAGTGGCATTATTAAAAGTCCCCAGTCCTCCTGTCTGTTTATGGTTACTTAGGGAAAAAGAATGACTTCATGTACCTTTGCAATTGCAGGCCATTAAGAAAATATTTTAGGATACAATATCTTTAAAGGAAAAGTTTGTCAATTGTTCAATGAGAATATTTGGTCATTCGGGCCTGCAAAAACTCCAAATAGTAAATTTTCTGGAGAGAATATGAAAATTACTGCATTAAAAATTGCTCCAGTCTTACTCATTTCTATTGTGACTAATATCAAAGCTCCCCATTTCCCCTGCAGCCAGAGAAAGGATAAATTAAGTAATTAGGGATTTAGAGCACAGAGGTATTTAGGGCACACTCCCCATGCAATTCTCCTGTCTGTTCCTGGATTTTCTATAATAGCAAAACTGTTGTATGCATTATGAGGAAAAAAAGACCTGGGAATGGCTTGATAGTCATGAGCAGGCTTTGCACATGCTAATAGAAGAGTTAAAAATATATCAATCACTTGGGCCAGTTTACCCCCGTGATCCTATAATAGTTGAATGGGGTTTTGCTGAACTTGGGACTTACTGTAATATGTTCCAGGAAGGCCCTCATGGACCCAAATGACCATTAGGGTTCAGTTCCACAGCATTAAAAGATACTGAAAAAAGATACATGGACTGGGAAAAGGTATTATTATCTCTGACCCAAACAATTAAAGAAGTAGAAAAAATTCAACAGTAACAATCCGTGCAAATCCAAGGCCCGTTTAGCCTGTTAGCCAGTGTTAAGAAGGGCAGTGCTCCACCAGACGGGATTGTACAAAAGCCAGCAGTACACAGTGTGCATATGTCTCAGGAGTCGTGGATTGGATGGATATGACTGAAGGGCTGGGAGAACCTACCAAATTTCAGGTAGCTGAGACCCCAGATATGCTGGCTTTGAAACAGCCGTGTAAGCCTACTCCTGTACTTGATGCTCCTGATTTACATCAGACTCTGAAGTTAAAGATGTGTTTTACTGATGCCTCAGCCAAACACAGAGATGGTAAATGGAAGTACAGAGCAGGTGCTCTTAACATTCAGACAGGAATGGAAGTAGTAGAAGAAGGAATGGGAAGTGCACACGTGGGAGAGTTAAAAGCTGAATTGCTGGCAGCAAAAGAGAAAACAAAGACAATATATGTTGAATCTTACACGATCTGGGCTGGTGCCACACAGCGATTGTGTCAATGGGAAGTTTGACAAGTAAATGGAAAGGAGGTTTGGCAGAAGGAAGATTGGAAGTGGTTATTGTTACAGGCTCAATCCCAACCAATCCACATAGGATGGGTCAAAGCTCATGGCAATGATCAAGTCTTACAGACTTATTGGAGCAAGAAGGTGGATCAGATGACAAAAATTAAGAAGATAAAAATTGATCAGTCGGAAGATCCTCAACATTAGTATTGATTGGGCAACTGGTTACACTGTAAACTGGGGCATACTGGACAGGAGGGTCTTGCAGCACAAAGTAGAGACTTTGTGTCTTGCAGCACAAAGTAGAGACTGGCCCTTGTCACGTGGAAAGGGAAGATATTCCCAAACCTTAATGTTTGTCAAAACCCTTGAAAGACTCACACCAACAGTTCATGGAATAACACTCTTTATTGATAAAATTGTGACAGGTTAAGGTTCCAGGATTGCTGGTGATACTTACTGTCTGACTGCAAAAATGTATTCAAAGCAATATACAGACGACCTCTAATCCCTGACAAAACTGGCTAGAGAAAATCATTCAGTGCGCACAGAGTGTGGTTCCTTTACCGAATGGGCCCCTCTGGGGGGAGAGACAGGTTCAGCCCGCTGACTGATCCCAGAAGTTACAAACGAGTTTTCGCTAAATTCTCCCCATTTTCAACTCACTTTTATGCTGTTTTTTTACACTTAGGTGGAGCTTGAGTGATTTTAGTCATGCGTGTTACTCAGTGAAGGACGGTTGTACCTTGGGGACAGGTATCTCAGTGCAGTACCTGAGATAACCTTGAAATAGGGACACCCATCAGTCCAAGGAGAGGGATTTTGCCACAGTTGCTGATTCAACAGCAGGATATCTTCATCTCCCTTGGTTTTCAGCTGCTGTGCAGCTGATCAGCTATAAAGTACCACCGAGTTCCCTCCCCTGCAAAGGTTTCCACAGATCTCCACTCAACTCCACCCTTCATTTAGGTCCCCCTTAGACTGTATTGTGTGGGGGAGGTCGGGTATGCTGGCTGCATTCCATCCAGGGAGTAGCAACATATTTTCCCCTGTAATTTCTGTACCATTATGTTTTTACTCCCAGTCATTTTCCCACAGCCCTTAACTAGAAAATGTGTAGAGGCATCCTCAAACAATGTTACCGGTGACAATTAAGACTTGTACAAAATCAGCCGTGTCAGACACAACCAGCTCCAGAGCAGCACTTTTAGGGCCCATACGGTCATTTTTAGGGTCCAAGCCACACATTGAGTGTCCAGACCCCCATCTGGATAGTCCAAAGCCCTCTTTTAGGGACCAAAGCATTGTCATTAGAGCCCTAAGCCTTGCTTCTAGCCTTGAAAGTCTCCTTTTTATGGTCCAGGTTGACAATCTGCCTTATCTCCGCTGTGGCAGCACAAGACCCATGGCCTAAGTACCGCTCCCGCTTTGGTGTCATCTGCCAACTTGCTGAGTGTTGTCTCTGCCCCAGCATCCAGACCATTAGTTAAGAAAGCATTAAATAGGATCAATCCCTGACCCCTGGGACACACTGCTTGTTCCTGGCTCCAGACTAGGCTTGGTGCTGCTGAGCAGAACCCTTGGGGTCCAACCATCCAGCCCTTTTCAGTCACTGTTGACTCATCCAACCCATGTCCCTTTGAGTGACTTGAACTCCATATTTAAAAATAAGAGATTGCCAGATGGGCACATGCAAGCACACAGCTTTCAAAATCCCATCATGCACAATATCCCACAGTGGGTATTTCCACCAATTGCCCCAAAACCTAAAAAGAAGGATTATTCATGCAAGGCCATGAATGTGGTCAGAGGCATGATGTTCGTTGTGAATTCTCATCAGGCTGAACAAAGACACTGGGCTACATGCCAGGGAACTCTTTATGTTTTATTGTACAGCCACCATAACTCCAGGAACCAGCCCAATATTTAGATTAAAAAGGTGTTGGCTAACAAGCCCTTAAATTATTGCAATACACTTCTACAAGAGTGGGGCCAAACAAGCCCTTAGATTTGGTACAGTACACTTCAGTAAGTTCTCAGTTCCCACAAGAGGCTTCTCAAAGGTGCTGCCTCACAAACCACGATGTGCTTCCACAAGCTCCCCACTCCCAAAACAAACTTCAATAGGAGTACAGGCTAGAATATCATAGCCGTGCTTTGCCCAGGCAAAGCAAGAGAGGAGAGAAATAAAGATAGAAAAGGGAGAGAACAAAGAATATCAGCAATCCGTAGATCCCACGTTGGTCCTGCCACATGGGTCTGGAGCTGAGGTTGCGAGACAAAGAAAGCAAAAGAGAAAGAGAGAAAAAAGAGAACCAGGGGAGCCCAATCCACTTCCTTTCCTAGTTAACCTGGTGCAGCTTCCTATGTAAACTAGATTTTTTGTGCTGTTTTGTTCCACGTGCACAGCCAGCCCTTTTAGCCCTCCTCCTGCAAGTTAGCTGGGGATGGGGCAGCACAAGTCTCAAGGTGGAGCAGGAAGTTGGCTCAGAACATGCTGCCCCTGCTCTGCAGGACCCTCTTCTCCAGTTACCTTTCCTGTTGTAACAGAATGTTTGAGACAAAACATGCTTAGGCCTGGTCCTCCACAGGCCAGT